GAACCCTGAAACAACCTCTGGGCTGATCTAAGTCAGAGCACACCTATCTGATCCCTAATCCAGGAATCAAATCTGAGACCCCAAAGGCTAGAGGGGTGTGCATTACTGCTATGACTCCATCAATCAATTTCTTTTGCAAAGCCTGGTAAGATGAGACTCCCCTAGTACTGCAAGTACATGTGATATCATTATAACTAATTACCAATAATAATATTATTATTAGGGATATTTTTACATATACCTCCCCAAATTCCCAACAAGATGTAAATGAATTAATAAATAACAATAAATATAATAATCGTAAAAGAAAAACTTACAGTAAAGAAAATGTCATGTAACCATGGCGTAGAAGCATAGCAACTTCCTCTCACTGCAGTAGCATTATCGATAAGTTCCTAGCTCCCACTATTCTTGTTTCCACACAACACATATGGTTGGAATTGCTTGTCTGTGGTGAACAATTGTCTTTTATAGTCTGTGTAGCCAGGCGTTGGCTACTCCAATCTTCCCTGACCCCACAAGAAATGGCTATTCTTAGATATGTCTTTCATTTTTCACCATTCTGTAAAACTCATATTCTAAATTCCAACTTCTAAGTCAATCCATTTTGTGGTGGTTTAATCCCATGCTATGAAAAAAAAAATTGCAAAATAAATTCATTAATGTTAATTTATTATTCTATATTTGACATCGCAGGCAAAGTATCAAATGTCAGCAGAAACAAGAAACCATTTGATTGCAGCTTCCCAGAACATAAAAGCTACGCACAAGTTCCTTGAACCAATACGAGTGCCGTACTACACAATTGAAGATGTCAACGTAAGTATCATAGCCTATCGACAAGTGTGTGAGGTCACTTAGGATCAATCTATATATGGACCTTTTGCTTAGCAAGCAGCACACTAACCAACCAAGCCACACTTGCTTCTTAAAACAAGTGTGTGAGGTCACTGAGGATCAAACTATGGACCTCTTGCTTAGCAGGCAGCACACTGACTAACCAAGCCACACTTGCTTCTTAAAACAAGTGTGTG